GCGAGGGGTAGCTCTTTTGCACTTAAAATTACAAATTGAAAGATTTTTTGTCTCTACCTGTTAGGCAAAATGGTTACAACTGTAGTTATATTGTATCTAATTTCTTTGTCACGTGTAAAAGTAGTTGTAGTAGTTTATCCTGGTTTACCGAAATGTTGCTCTGTGCATCACGTTAGATAAATACATGAACAGAGATGAACGTGTACACCAGTAACTACGGTTTGAACAGTTTGCTTGTTGTCTGTCAGACGAGTCTTTACTTTTTGTGTTTATGTTAACGTGCATCCTTTTTTAGGGTCTCGTTCTGGGAATCTACTCAAGTGAAAAGGATGAAGGTGCTGCCCAGTTCACTAGTGCAGGAGATGCTTTCGATAGACTCGTGTCTGGAAAGCTGAGAGAACTTCTGTCCATGTAAGTGTGTGATAAGCTTCTGAAATGGATTAAAGTATCTACAAACACCAATAAGAGTGATCTTTTTTATCAGTATTAGTGTTTGTATCCATACCACTTCTCTGGCTGGTATTTGCTTCTACCAGGCTAAGTAGTTTGGAGAAGAACTCCTGTGGGAGCACCAAGCACTGAGGAAAGGGATGCACACGTTCATGGGCGCTGTCCTTTTCTGTGAAGCAGCACTGAGACAAATGTCCCAGCACAGTGTTGAGGAACACTGTGTGGTTGTGAAGTGAACATAGTGCCATAAGATTTATCACCAATAAGGACTTCTTTATTGAAATAATCTTTTTATGTTCTAGATGTGGGCCACCTTTGAAGAAAGGCAAAACGCGCATATTCCATGGTTTGCATCAGGTATGAACATTGGATTTTTATGTGCATACTGATTAATGTGTGAGGTTTGCCCTTATGTATTATTTTAAGCTGAGTTCACTGCTCTGCTTATGTAAGTGCTCTGCTTTTCTTCCTCCCTCTCACCCCTCTCAAAAAGAAGAAATGTGGTTTTATTGAAACCTCCTGTTTTGCACTCCCATGTTTACGTGGCCTTTTGCACAATCTTCTACTCCCTCCACTGTGCTGCAAATGTACAAACTTGTGTAAACAAGTGTGCTCCAAAGGTGTTGTGCTCTCAATAACTGCTTTACTGAGTGAGCTGAAGCACAACAGTTTGGGATCAGACTTCCACTGTACCTTCCGTGTTCACAAGGAGTGAGTGCATGGGTGTGTACTGATATGTGCAAAGACCTTCCAGTCATGGCAGTTCTAAGACGAGGTAGTCCTAGCCTAAAGTAGGCTTTAATCAGAGGTTTTAGTCATGTGCTTGAGACCTCTGAAAACAAGACATGAGACTGTTCTTCAAGCAGGACTTTTGTCTGCACAGTCATGATATATCACAAGGGTAAGAGATGAGGATTCATCTGCTTAAAGTTAGGCTCTTGGTGCCATTTGAGAAGCCCTAATACATCTAATGCACCTGCACAGATAATAATCTTATATTAGGGCTATTTAAAATCATTTAAATAAATCAATTCGTAGTGAGTATTGCCTACCACATATAAATTCCTCTGCGGAGACCCCAGACGGATGACACAAGACTCAGCAGAAAGGCTCTCGGAAATTTCATGGAAGTTGACTCCACTGAAAGTCCCATTTTTCCAGTCCTGCATACAGGATGAAGTGAATAGCAAATCTCTGCAAGAGAAGGCAGTAGAATTTGGCCTTACACCTCTTCTAAGCGTGTGAAATAATGACAACTAAAAAAAGTTAACTCTAGTCACTGATCTTCTGGAAAGCTAACACCAGTTTCAGCGTCTTGTGGACTAAAAGACTTTACTACTGTGTAGCAGTTTGAAAGGTGGTTGTTAGAATCTAACAGAGCAGCTATTTGTGATGGAAGGAAAAGCCTAAGAACAACTTCATTTTTCTTCAGAGCAAAGAGCATATATAACCTTGAGTTTTATACAAATTTGACTTCGTTCTTAAAATGCTTCTTTAATCTTTGTTATTTCTTCTTTATGCCTTCCACTTGCAGTTTATAAGGCAAGCGTTTAGTCTGCTGTGCTACATCACTTGCCTGAGTTCCGGAGCTGTGTACCTCTGTGCAGCTTTGCTTTCTCATCTGGCCTTTGAAGTGATTTTATTTCCTTGAACGTAGTACTGTGCCAAAAAGGGTTACGCTCCTCCAGCTCAGTTCTGGCCTTTGTTGCAGCTGGAAAGCTGGATCCGCTTTCAAAGGACTCTTGGACTTGCGCTTAGAAGTACCAAGTTTACCATGTGTTGAGTATAAAGCCCTGACTGCTGCAATACACATGATTAACTTTTAACTGGACAACAGAAACTGGTTGCATGCCTGTAGCAAATGATTGGGAGTGCAAGACAGTGGCACCATACTGGCACTCTTAACGTAGAAATGTGCGTAATGTAGAGAAAGTATTAAATGTATTTTAATGCTCTGCCTGGTTTGATTTTGAAAGTAAGGTCTTTTTAACAACTCCCTGCTGTGGCTGTATGAGCTAAAGTGAATCCATTTGTGTGTCGGCTTCATCTAGGACTTTCCGAGTGTGGTTGTCGTTGGCTTGGGTAAGAAGAATGCTGGAGTAAATGACCAAGAAAACTGGAATGAAGGCAAAGAAAATATTCGTGCAGCTGTTGCAGGTTTGCTATTTTTATTTTTTTTTAAGCATTTTGTCTATAAAATATTGCAATGGCATACCATGTTCCACTTTTGAAGAGTGAGTCTAGATATCATTTTTATTTTGAAATGCAAAATCTACAGCATGGTTTGGTTAATGGATTTACTTGTTGCTGAATTCATGAAGTTTTTCGTTAGCAAGAAAGGAGTTACAGGGCATGTAAATCAATCTGCAGACAGGTAACTCGTTACTTATACCAAATAACTTTCCTAAACTGTGATATTGAACAAGCGCTTGTTTAATTACTACTATTTTGAAGCCTGAGAGCATCGCTGATTCACTTTATGCTCATGCTGTACTTAGGTATGCACATATATTTACTTTTGCCACTTAGTTTATTACTGAGATAGTTATGCTATAAACTGGTGTCTTCTACAACATCAGTAGTATGGTTCATTATTTTATCTGTCATAGGCAGAGGAGGCCTCTCTGTCTTAATCAAGGATGACTGCTGCATCTAAGTGGGTATAAAGAGAATAAAAAGAATAAAAAGAGTTCTCACTGCAGAGTTAGTAGTCTGAGACTGGAAGTCAGTCACACCTGTATGAGAGCTGTATGTCCAAAGTGCTAGCCCACGCTGTCTCACTAGCTGCCAAAACGTCGATAAATTAATTGGTACAAAATAGAATTTATGTAATGTATAATTTTTTTGTTTGTTTATAAAAGTGTGTATAAACTGATTTGGAAGAAAAGAGCAGTCGTATTCTCAGCAAAAAACTAAATTACAGCAAATTTCTGATAACCTGTAGATAGTCATAATCCACAGCACTCCAGAATGATCGAGCTTTTCTTTGATATGGAGTGAGCTTAAAGGAATGAGAGCAACTGTGAACTTTCCTTTTTATTGTGAAATGTCTTAATCGTCACAATTCATCAAGTGATATTTTTAGTCAAAATTTGTCAGTATATTAGCATTTCTAATTATTCTACTGCATGATCTTTTTAATTGGTTTACTTATAAACTCTGGTATCTTGAGTTAAAATTATTTTTTTCTTGAAATGTCGCGTTGATCACCTGATATACCTGTTTTGCTGTTCTGTGACATACTCAGCCTACTAGTTTTGTACTATATTTTTCAGTTGGTTGTAGACAGATCCAAGATCTGGAGATCCCTTGTGTTGAAGTAGACCCCTGTGGAGATGCTCAAGCAGCTGCTGAAGGTGCTGTCCTTGGATTGCATGAATATAACGAGCTGAAGCAAAAAAAGAAACCTGTAGTTACTCCTCAGCTTCATGGAAGGTGATGACAAAAGGAAAGCTTGTGTATTTATTTATCTGTTTGTTTACTTATTTATAAAACTTTGTGCATGAGAAAAACATAAAACTAACAGAATAAGGCTAGCAGCAATATCCCTCTTAATTCCTCCTACTCCTTTGAATTTCCTGAAGTATTTTACATCTCAAGTATGTTTATAGTGTTTGCTCCATGTGTTTTGTTAGTTTGCTGTGTTCTGAGGTTAAGGGTAAATAAATGCTGCTTCATAGAATAGAAGGCCCAGGATAAAAAGTAAGTAAAAAGTTACTTGAAGCATAGTTCTGGTGTGAAAGGACTTTTGTTGCTATTGCATGCCAAAATTGCAGAGCAGAGGTATTTTGAACTCCATAAATGCATAAATCCTTTTGAAAATCAGGAAATGCTAATTGACACCAGACCATGCCATGATGGATACGTTTTACATACTTCATTTGTATGAATACACATATTCACTGAATACAGTGCAAGAAGAGAAGCTTGGGTGCTCCTGGCCTCTAAGTAGACATCATTGTTGCTTGAGAGCAGAAAGTAATGTCAGAGCTTTTGGTTCCAGAACAAAGTTTTATTAATCCCTTGTTACTCTATCAGAGGGGACTTTGTTCCTTCCATATAGGATATTCTGTCACACGGAGAAGTATTTCCCATATGTACTTTATACAGGAACAAGTCTTTCCTTATGAGAAAGTTAGTGAAATAATATAAAGACCTCTCAACTTAAGTGTGTCTTGATAAGCTACATGCAACACTCT